AGTTATGAACAATTAAGTGTGTAGAGACCTAATAGATCGTTACACTAATAATATAAAGTAATTTTATATTATTCTTTAATTTAAATTAATTCATATGATAAATTTATTAATTCTTATAATTATTTTAAAACTAATGTTAAAAAGCATTATTTGTTGATAAGAAAAAGAAATCACACAATAACGTATATCTATTAAATGTAAACAAGAAACAGGCGGCTATTATTCAATACTCGGTTAATTGTTATAATTGATATATATATATATATATGGAAAAGCATCATTCATCTTATACCTGTATATTTATGATATGCTTCTTCTATATATATATATATATATATATAAATGTAAATGATACATTTTTTGCGGAGTGAAAACCTGAAAATAGCAAATTTGTATAGAATTTTTCGATCACGCTTTAATAATCAACTTGGAAGTTTGGATGACTAATTCCTAGTTGCTGCCAAGGCTTGCGGGATTATAATTAGTTATAAAGGCTTATCGGTTCCTTTCTTACGTGTTTCACTTTCCAAGTGATGAGGTGAGACTGAAAACCGATGAATTGGTCATTATAATGATTTAATAAGGTATTACTAGTTAATAATAACCAATCAATGAATACAATAAACTGTCAAATCAAATATCGATGGTAGTGTGATAATCTTAACTGCGGATTTTTTTTTCTTACCATTTTTAAAAGAAAATTTATTCTTTTTATGGAAAAATTAATTAAACTTTTTTCAAATAAATTAATCTTAATGATATTTCTCGCATGTCATTCTTTTTCAATTTTCAATTTTTTTCACACTATATTTAACTGAGTATTTTACAACAAATTTCATTCATGAATTCTTTTTTTTTTGGAAGGATTTAATTCCTTTAAATTAAAGAATTATTTAGAAATAAAAAATAATAATAATTAGTTAAAAGTTTAACTTTAAATGATTATATTATTGTTTGGACAAACTTAAATGATCATGTTATTTACTGTATATATACATATAAAATCCATGTGTTTGATATTGAAATTAATTCCTTTATCAATAAATTGAAAAAGCAAATATTTATATAAAATAAGTTAAATGAAAAATAATACAAATTAATTTACAATGTAAGATTTATAATTTATAAAACATCATAAATATGATAATTATATATATATATATATATATATAAATAATTGAGGATCGCACAAATAAATATATTTTATCACATAAACTTTTAATATAGTTTTTTTAAAAATAATTTTTTTAAAACATTGTTATTTAAAATTATTTATTTTCATATTAACCATAATTTTAAAATAATTATATCAAAATATAATCAAATTAAAATTAATATATAATATGGATAAATTTAAGTTATATATAAAGTTTGCCGTTAAAATAAAATAACTATATTTTAAAGGGAAAAGATAACATTGATAAACAATAAGTGGGATTGAAGGTTTTGATGAGTTTAAAACAACCAACAACTTGAAGAAAAGTTGAGTCCCCAAAGGCCCTTATCTTCGGCCACAATATGAGTAATTATTAAATATCTCTTTCAATGATAATAATAATAATAATAAAAAAAGAACAATTGTATCTTTAATTAATTCGTAACATATATGTGAAGAAGTTAGACTTGTTCTTATTCTTGATAGAAAAATATTGTTTATGAAATAATGAATCTCAGATAGATGCTCAATGATATTTAAATTTCACATAAATAATTAAAATTTAATATTTTAACATAAGCACGTACAATTCAATTCAATAAAAGAAAAATATAAATTATCGATCTGTTCAAATTTTATCACCATATTGTAAACATCTTTTATAATTTATTTAATATCAATATTCTAATAGCATGAGATATTTATATATGTTATTTCTACAAGTTGTATTACAAATTTGACGAATGAGAACAATTTTATAATCACCAAAATGAGAACATGTACCCTTATTTAAGTAACAAGTTATGGTATTGGTAGGCCCATTTAGCGCGTGTTTAGGAAAAAATATCTTATAGAAAAATAAAATAGCTGGTTTTATAAATAAAAAAGTTACTTATAAAAAAATCTGGTTGTTCAGAAAATTTGCTGATAAACAGTTTTTCTTTTTAAAAAATAAATTATTTTTGTGAAGCTGAAAATTGAGTGGAATGTTCGAAAAGATTATTTCTCACTTTTCAACTGTTTTTATAGAGAAAAAGAAAAGTATTTGTGGAAAAAAAAACTGTTGTTTAAAATTATTTATCAACATTTTAATTATTTTAAATAAAATTTTATTTTAATTATAATAATGATCGATTATTTATATAATAAATAAGTACTTTTTTTAATGTATTTAAATAATAGTATTGTTGTCTTAAAAAATATACAGTATTATTCTATAATATTTAACTAAACTTGTAATTTAAGCTAATAAAATACTATAGATAATGCTCAATGCTTCCTATAGATTATGTTATTATTATTATTTATTTTTATTAATCATGTATAAAAGCATTGACTTCACATATGAATTAGTTATTTTTATTATTGCATCATAATATAATGAGTTTACACATTAATTACTCATTTTATTATTGTCATCGTAACATAATGTGTTTACGCATGACTTACATCCCAACTTTCAAAGGAATAGGCATGAATTACTCTTTTTTAATTTATTGAGACTGAAAATATATTCGGAAGTTAAGTTTTGAAGAAATAAAAAGAGTAGCACAATTTTTTACTTTCGAGAAAAGCTTTTACCCTTTCATAATTTTTAAAATGAAACAAATAAAATATTATATTAGCATTTGTCAAAAAAAATTATATAAGCAAAACTGATTTTTAATTTGATAATTTGTTAAAAAAATTATAGTAGCATAAATATTTTATCTAAAAATTTGAACATTAACTTTAAATTAATATCAAAATATTTAATAATTGATTAATTATAATAATAAAATTATAACATATACAAAGAGTGTCGTTACAAATATTATTAAAAGTATTTTAAAAATAATCTTTTTGTTTACAAATATTATTTATAGTCTTTTAATTTACAATTAAATATTTATATTTTCTTTTTCTTTACTCCGAAAACTTTATTGTCAATATCCTCTAAAACATTATAAGTCATAGTTTATATAAACTCTTTTAGGTTATTATAAATGTTTTAACTTTTTTAGAAATTTCTTTTTAGTTATTCTAGTAAGTTTGTCGATCAAAACTATGAATAAAATTATGTAACCTAAATTGTTTACAAAATTATTGATAGATAAGTTTATTCTTAAAAGATGAAATCAATTCATCGTCTTTATATAAAATAATTCAGCCAATATAAAGTAGATTTAAACAAAATCACAATACATATTTATACACTACAATAATATGAGATTTTAGGAATATTAAAAAAAATATTATTAAATTATAAATAAATGTTATTAGTATGATATTTTATCAAATATAAAATAAAATTTATATTATTAAAAAAATTAGTAATATTTTACATATTAATGACAATATTTTTAAAAATATTACTAAAGTGATATTTTACAACATTTTAATAATATTATTAAATTTTTTATAAATTTTATAAAAAGATAATTAATATTAATATCAATTGTACTATTACTTATATTTTATCATTTTTGTCTAATTTTTTTTTAAGATTAAAGATATCTATTTTTTTTACAAAAAAATATATCTTAATAAGTTAATCACGCTAAATCTAAATTACATATTAAAGTTTATTTTTAAAATTTTACTATATAATTATATATAATTTTTATATATCATTATTTTATTAATTTTAAAAATAATTAAAATGTAATCTTTATATTTTATTTTTTTTACTCGATATGAGACTTATTTTTAAAAAATAATTTTAAAAAATATTATTAAAATAAAAAAAATATTATTCTATTTATAATAACATTTTATTAAAATATATTATAATAATTTATTAATTTAATCTATAGTAATATTTTAATAAATATGAGTAAATAAATATTTTAAAAATTGTTAAATGTAAATGTGATAAAAATAGTTTATCTCAAATATGATTAAGGTATTTATAACATAATTTGTGAGTATTAACTTTGAAGTATAGATAAATAGATAATAAACTTAGAAAAATATACTCATACTGCTACAACTTCCAAAAAACATTTTACATGTGAGCATAGTGAATGTCTAACATAATTTGTAAGTGTTAAATTTGAAGTATAGATAAATAGAAAATTTGTGAGTCTTGTTGTCATTTGACATCATTTGCATTGACATCCATGATTTGATGTTTTTATTTTCGTGAAAGACGGAATTAAAAAAAAGAAAGAGAAAAACACATGTCTACTCTTCCATGATTTCATCCTCCAATTATTATTTTGTTTAGTGTGAGAAAGAAAAAATAAAAAATAAGTGAGTGATAATAATATATTTTTCAGCTACTTCTGGATCTTCTCACTCATTTCTTAACAAAACACTTACTTAATATTCTTCAACTATCAATTAAGCTTAATAATATAATTTTCTTATTTAATTTTATTTTGTTCTGTTATAATAGATAAATATTGAAAATTCTGTTAATAGGAAATATATATGGATAGAAAAAAAAAACAAAACAACAAAATATGACATGATATTCCAACTTATAAAATAATTTTTTAAGACTTACAAAATAACTTTAAAATTAAAAACTATTAGGATATAAAACAACAAAACCTACAAATTATTAGGACATGAAAATGCAATATAAATAGTTTGTCTCAAAAAAACAGAATCTAGGACATAAACATAATTAGAGACCCAAAATACCATAAAAAAGTGTCATACATCACACACAACAGATAGGACAACAAAATAATACAAGACAAGCTACGGCTAAATCAAAAGCATATGAAAACAAGGCTTGCCTTTAGTTCAGTTGCCAACTTCTTCGGAGTAGACACTAGTCAGACACACATACTAGACACACGGACACAGAAATACACTGCAAGCTGACTTAAATATAAAAATAAAAGAGACTACTGAAAACAACAACATATGATACTTGGGCATCACTTCTTGAGTAGACTTCCCGAGAAAATCCTCTTGCAATATGGACTGGTGCGCAGGATTTTGTGAGGTCGAACTGCTTCAACCAAAGTTCCATGGAGAGGACCCTATGGCACACGGTTAATATTTAAATTAATAACTTTCAATTACCATAACATGCTAGCTATGCAAACAATGGTATGCATAATTTTTCAAACCTTAGTTACAGCAAGAGCAGATTGAATGACATAGTTGGCAAATGGGTCCTGTAACAACTGCTCAAAGTGAGGTGCAGACAATAATTCTCTAACTATTCTTGATCTAGTGTCACCAATATGCTTAAGACATTTTTCAACCACGTGACTGCTGAATTTTTGAGTAGACAAATTTACATAATTCCCTTTAAACAGACCAAGCAGTTTGGCTGAAGCAGCCGGAGTATCCATCTCTATAACATATTGAACAACATAGTTTCTGCAAAATAATTTATGAGTGCTGCTAAGTATAGATAAATAAATAATAATAAAAAGTAATATGATGATCTATCCTAATAAAAGATGTGACAATGAAAAGTTGATAAACAAACTATATTTTATCAATAATATTCTATGTATGTTACCCAAATGGATCCTGTGAGAGGAGAAGTCCATGTTTGCATATTTCTGTAACCAACTTATCTCGATTCTTCCCCACAGAGTAATCAATGCAGCGTTGCATCACACAACATCCATGTCGATGAGTAGCTATCTCAACACAAAACTTCACAGCAGCATCAAAAATAAACTGGCATAATTATAAAAAGAAACAATAAGAAACTTCACAATTTTGTTTAAGCAAATTAGATAGCTATCTCAATACAAAACTTCTCCGCAACATCAAAAATAAACAGTCATAATTATAAAGAGAAACAATAAAAAAAATTTTCATAAATTTGTTTAAACAAATTGGTCCAATAGAAAACAGACAAAATATACAAAATCCCATGAGTTCATAAGAGTGGCATGTACATATTCTAAAAATTAAACATTCCATGTGCTACATCATCCATCATAGAACCTTACTCACCACACTTGACAGTTTGGAGTAGAATTTATAGTATAGAAACCAAGTTGACAGCATATTAGTTTAAAGACTGCATGGGATACAAAAGTTTGCAGTATTCAAGGCTAAATTAAAGACAGAAATGATCCAACTTGATAGTAATGACTAATTAGACGAGACTTGTAGTTGCAGTAAAAAAAATTGAGATGGATAGACGTCTTTAATTACTTGACATATTGCAAGTGCTTCATTCATGAGAAATAGTTTAACTAGCTTACACACGTATTTCTTCTTTTGACATACTCAAATAATTAAAAAAGACATATTTCTTCTTTTGATATACTCAAATAATTAATAAAAGAAGGAGATGTCTACTTCCAACGCATAATGTAAAAGTTAAAATTGATTATTCGAATGTTATATCAATAACTTTCTTTTCTTTGAAATGAAAATCACAATATAAATAAATAATGTGTATTAAGGAATGATACTCAGAAAGTAGTTTCTCTTCCCACTTTTGATGCTCGTGTATAGTGCATTTCAGTATAGTCGCTTCATAATATTCAATTAATTCAAAATGTTTAATAAGCACAAAAGAACATACATTGTAGTATAGTAGCTTCATAATATTCATGTAATTCAAAATGTTCAATAAGCACAAAAGAACAAAATGAGGACAAAAATGACAGTAAAAACATAAAGAAGAGTAAAAAAAAAAGTAAAAGCAAGAATTATAATACTTGATTATCTTGACAACTAAGTCATTGAAAGCAACGTTAAATTACGTGACTTAATTATATATATATAGAGAGAGAGAAGGAATACTGCATTGCCATATATATATATATATATATATATATATATATATATATATATATATATATATTTTT